GTTTGAATTATTAAAATAGAGCGATATAGAGAAGGTCTCAAGTAAAAAGAAAGCCATGAGACGTCAAGCTGAATTTGTCAATTTCGATGTCTAAAACTAAAACGTACCCAAATTCTATTTTTGTTTAGTCAAGCAGTCAAAATGTGTTTCCTCGGAATAGGTCTCTGAGGTAGACGCAGACATTTTTATCTCTTTTCTTCACTCTTCTTCTGCTCACACACTCAGTGGTGGACACTGGTTAGTACTGATAGGAGTGGTCTGTGGAGCAGGGGAGGTTGGCAGCTGTGTTTATCTTGAACCGCCTGTGGGCGGGCTTTCAGGCATGTTTGTCCAGGGAAGCAGCGCTAGGGGTCACGACTCACTGCAGTATGAAATATGTTTACCTTATCTTTCACCTCCGGATGATCTCCACCTTAAAGGATGAGTCACGACTATTGCACAAGTTTTGGTGTGACGGAGTCTCACCTTAATGCTGAATCACTGTTACAACTCATGGAGTGTAGCTCTAAGAGTTTAAGTTCATTCAGAGTTCACTGGATGAACACTCATTGATTTCTTCTAAGAAAGAGGCACAACTTTATATTAAGGTTAACATTTTTCAAGTCTGTGAAAAATCACTTGAAGTCAGACACAGTGCAGTCAAAAGTATTCTTGTTTTGTTCCCAAAATGAAAATAGGAGAAAAAGTAATAAGAATCTTGAATTGCACTGCTGATTTAGAGTTCAGCAGAAAACTTATTTGCTCAATTGCATATTTGTTTTGCTTTGATTAGTAAAATCTTTACTTGGAGGCTGTTTGTTTTATAGTTTACATACGGGGTTCTCCAAGGCTCAATCCTTGGAGCCCTTTCATTAAACATCTACTACTGCAAGTTATAAAAGAAAATAAGATTATAAGACTGAGCTCCTTTAAATTAATACTAAAAACCCACCTATTTGCCGTTGCTTTGAACCATAAAAAATATGGATTATTGATCACTTGGATTATTTGAACACTTTGAATTACCCTTTTTTCAGAAATGTTTGATTTCTGATTGATTGGTTATCTTTGCATTCAGATTTGTTTAATAATCTGAAATGGTTGTGTCACAAAACAAACAACAACAAAAAACCCAGAAAAAAATCTTCAAATTTTTTTACAGTGTGGCGACTACAACACATCCATTGTACACAGAGGTCAAATCCAGATTCATGATGGGGGCAAATATGGATTTTTGATTTTCTTTAAGTGCCTCAGGCAACACAAATGTTGGCCTTCAGAGCCACTGGGCGGTGTCTTTTTTAATACCGTTAAGCACTCTTTGAAATATTGGATATTTTTAATAACACTGTCTTGCATTAAATCTTTTAATACCACTCTTGTACATTAAAAAGGCAACAAATAACTGTTTACTGAAATCGCTACGGGGAGCAGATGAAGACGGATTCTGCATCTCGTATCAGTGGGAAAGTGTGTCAGGTTCCTGCAGCTTCAGTTGCTTCTCTTCAGTCTGATTGTCTCCTGTCAAGATATTTGTGTTTTGAAGCATTGTTGAAGGTTCTTTCTAATAAAGATGAGAAATACCTAATCAATTCTAGTAAAATGTCTTTTAGTGTCTTTTTATGAGTGTAAATTCAATAAATAGAAAGTTACCACTGGAAGAAATATAGAATTTTTAGGTCCACATTGTCCATCCTAGTTGTTAGTTTTCAAAGTCAGTTCAAAATGTCTCCTTTTCTCACCTCAAGAAGTTGTGTAGGAATCTGCAAAGGGCCAAAGTGTCCCTACAGGTAATAGGAATGCACGTCAGGCATGAAAGGAGCTCAATAATGTAAACCTGATCCTCCAGCTGCTACTGTGTTTTGAAAAAGCATTCATGACCTTTGAATTTTCTTTCACCCACTACAAACTTGAATGTGTTTGAGTGGGTTTTATGTCACAGAGCAAAAAGAAAAAGCTAAATTGTGAATTGAAAAGAAAATAATTTGTGGTTTTATAAATGTATTTAGGACGCGTTCACACCAGCCCCGTTTAGTCCGCTTTAATCGAACTCTAGTTGTTTGTCTACAAAGTCTGAGCCTACAAGCCTTGGTCTTGGTTCGGTTGAAGTGAACTCCGGTTCTGTTCGAAAGCCTATGTGAACGCAAAGTGGACCAGAGACCGCTCCAAAAGCAGGAAGCGGAGTCTAGCGCGGGGCATTATGGGTAAATGTAACCAAAACAAACGAGTCCAACGCTAGCGGGAGAAATGGCCTGTGGTCTTCTACAAACCAATTCAATCCTACACCAGCTAAAATCAGATGTCATTCCACATTTGTTTACATTTCATGAATAAGGAAGCTGCCCTCATGTTTTCCTCAGAGGTTTTTGTGTCGTTACCTTCTGTGGTTCTTTATACAGCGCCACCACAGGTGAGGAGGTGAACAGGTTTTTGAAGAGTTTAGCTTGCAGTGTGAAGGCGAACCACATCAGCTGAAAATGTAACAAATGTCACAGTTTTGGTCCCCAATAAAACGCTCGGAGACCTTGACAACTTAAATGATAAGTAAAAGAAGTTCCTCTGCATGTATTTTAATTTAAGATGTTCTCAGAGCTTCGTTATAGAACGTTAGTGAACAGGTATCACCATGAAGACAGGAATAAAACAAATATTTATAGAATAATAGTTGTGAAGAAGCTTTGGCTATAAAATAATAATCCAGACATTGTCATCTGAAAATAGAAAAAAGAATCAACTTGAACTCACATTGAGGTTTATGGTTGTAAGGTGACAAAATGTGGTGCAGTTCAAGAGCTATGAACACTTTATGGAGGGAGGAAGTCTGTTGCTTCTTGACTCCAGGCTCTGAGGAAAGTTTTGTTGGGCTTCTGGTGCAACAAAGTAACAACTGAGATGTTTTTGCTCAGGATTCCTTTGTTTTCCTTTACTTGATCTAAAAAACTAACCATAACCGTGTTGTTTAATCTCTCTGACTCTGATTCTGTCTATTTTGAAGCTTCTGTCCTGTCCAGTGAGATGACCCAGGTGTTGTAATCTGGAGTTTTTCTTTTTGAGACACCCTGTTGTGTGAACTAACCAGCCAATCGTCTGGTCCTCTGCAGGAACCCAACCAGACATTCCACACAGACCTGCCCGACCTCTCCGAGTGTTTCCAGCTGTCCGTCCTGGCATGGCTGCCCTGCGTCTTCCTATGGGTAGCCTCTCCGGCCTACATCTACTACCTGAAGAAGAGCAGCCGAGGGTACATCATGATGTCGCTGCTGAACAGGTTCAAAACAGTAAGTGGGACATTGTCTCATTAAGTAAGATCTTAAGGAAAAAAACGGTAAATAGTTCAGTAATATAGGAAGGAGCTCGATCATGGAGGAGCCTGAAACTTAAAGTCCAGATTTCTGAATCGACAGCGTTTGTACAGGTGCTTGAAATCCTTGAAAGGCTTGATTTAAATTAGGTGTTTTCAAGGTTTGGAGTCCATGAAAGTGTGTGATATTTAAAGCACGCCATTTTGTAACAAAGTGCCATCAAATGTTTGATTAAAAGTCTAATTTTATTTAGAGTTGAAACCAGATATTTTCATACACTGAATGAAAACACACATTTTTTTCTGACTGCCTGAAGTTAAATAAGACAAACTTTTTCTTGTCTCAGGTAACTTAGAATTACCAAAATGATTTCTAATTGCTAAAAGCCAGAAAACGTTGAGAGAACATTTAAAAAAAAAATTTTTTTAAGTATATTATGTTTAAGTATTTAATTTGAGCTCTAAGATAATTTACCTTAACATGATTTGCTTGGATTGTTTCAATGTAATGAATATTTATTACTCCTAGTGGCTCAACGACTTATTAATCTGTGTATTTGAGAAAAAGGTTGATTTATATTTTATATCTTAATTAGGTTATTGAAATTATAAAATTTTTGCTTCGTTCTCGGACCAGGTGAGTGTGTTAGGTTTGTTAAAGAGAATTTTGAAAACAAAACTGTATTTTAGCTTTCTTTGTCCCTGCACTGTAGGTTACTACCACAGGAATAAATGATGTCATCTAATAGTGAATTGAATCTGTCGTTTTTAATTCATTTATTCTGGTTTCATCTCCAAAGTGTGGTGATGGAAAGGTTTGAAAACGTACCTTGAAAATGCTTGAAAAGTGTTTGAACTTTACTATTGGAAAAGTGTATAAACTATGATTCATAAACAATAGAAACTGTTTAAAAAGTGTGTTTAGTTTTAATTCACATGCACCTTTGATCTGTAAACCAGAACAGGTGAAGTAAAGGAAGGCTTCATTCAAATCATCACACCACAGACAAATAAAAACTAAATGATCAACTTCCTGTTTTTCCCACTAGGAAGTGAACCGCTGAACCCTTCTCTCCTGTTTCTCCCACCTCTTCTTTGTTTTTCTGTCGTTTCATTTGTTTTATTCTCACTCTGCTTTTCCTTTTCCCTCAGGCGTTCGGCTTGTTGCTCTGGATCGTGTGCTGGGCCGACCTCTTCCACACATTTCACGAGCTGCAGCAGGGTCAGTCCCCGCCCCCCATCTATTTCATCTCCCCGCTGGTGCTCGGCATCACCATGGTAAGGAACGTGCAGCGTAGCATGGGTCAAAGAGCGACAGCTTTACAAAAGGCCATTCATGGACTGTATGTCCTGCAGCATAGGGGTTGTACATTTATTTTTGCATATGCAAATTCAAAGTATGGCGCTCACATCTGTGATGCTGTTGCAGTGATAACAGATGGGACCAGCAGCACTCCCTACAGATTTTTTTTTTTTTTTTTTAAATTAAGATTGCAGGTTTCATCTCGTATGAAAATGATATGCTAACTATTGTTGTAACAAACTGTGTTAGCATAAGATTGTTTTGCTCTAACGCAGCAGCGTCATGCGGAGATGAATATTTGCAGCTCCCCTGTGGTTGAGCATTCAAGCTGGTCTCCAGCAGTGAAGGCAGCCAAACCTTCTGTTTTTATAGGAAAACGTATAAATGTGAAGGCAAACAACTTGTCTCGTCGTTCAGTTCATGGGAACCTGTTGCAGAATTTACTGCATGAAAAGAAGTTTGTAACACATCTGGAATAAGAATGTCATGCTCAGGGCAGACACTTAGAAAGTCTTAAATTAATATATATCTTAATATATACCTAAAATTAAAGCCTTAAATTGTCTTAAATTCATTTTTAAAAAGTAAGTTGGCCTTAAATACATTAATCGCAGGTCTTAAATTTTGTCCTATTTCATTTCATATATTCTTTACATTCTTTTGCTTTTCTTTCAAGCAAAAGTTTGAGACGCATGCAAACATTTGTATTGCGTTCTTTGACTTGAGGCTGTCATTGCTAATCTTGCTAGCTAGCTTTTTTATGCGTTTTTAACGGGTAAATGGAAACTTATCTCCAGTTGTCTGGACGAAGTTCGTACGTTTCTGTGAATATTTAGTTCTTAAATTTCATTCATAATGGTCTTAAAAAGGTCTTAAAAAGTTTTAAATTTTACTTGGTGAAATATGCAGAGACCCATGTTATTACCTACAAGACAAGCTGAAAGAAGTCAAGTAAGAAAACGATCACTGACAATACTTTCAGCAGAATCATGAAGGTGAAACATCAGAACATCAGTCATTACTTCAGTGCAAATATCTAAGAGATGGAAGAAATTAAAATACTTTCAGCAGTTTTTTGTGACAATACTTCAGTGTTCAGTTTAACTCTGAGAAGAAGGATGTTTTTCTTTTAAGTTAAACTAGTTAGATTTGCACATATTGAGTTATTTAAAAAAAAAAGATAGAAAACACTTGTTGAATTGCAGCAGTCTGTCATATTTTGTGAAGCAGAATTACAGTAAATGTTAATGTCTAGCTACTGATTTGCTTGTGTTTGTTCTCACCACATTTACATATGTTTTCACATATGTTTTTGGTTAATGGATGTGGTTTAAAAACATATAATTCCTACTGATGGAGGCTGCAGACGACCTGAGGTTGAGACGGAGGACAGCTGAATATAAATGCTCTCTTGTTTCTCCGAGTCATAACGGAAAGAACGCGCTGATCTCTGGAGGAACATCACCATCAGATGTCATAAAGATCATTAACTAATCATTGCAGCCCTTTTCTTTCTTCAATGCCTGCTCCAGAATTTAACCTTCTACCATCTGATCTTAGCAAATCATGATGTTCTGATTTGATCCATGGTCACTAATCTTCTGTTTGCTGTGACTTTTCTTTTTTTTTTTCCTGTTTTGCAAAAGCATCAGTAAATCCGACATTTAAGCCCAAAGATATCCACTTTCCCATCTGATCTCTGATAAAGGCTCACAGTTTAATATAAAGTCATAGTGCGTAACCTCGGATCACGGCTAGTTTCAGTTCCCCCTGCGGCTCTGACTCCAGCATTTAGCTGCGATGTAGCGCTAAAAAGGCTCAGATGAACGGCTCAGATAATCAGTACACTTCAGAAGAGCTGCGCCGGCTTACGACAAATCCAGAAAATTTTTGGATTAACTGGAGTCTGACCCCGTGTTTGATGGAAAACAGATTGTAATCAGGATGCTAACCCCTGTCAGAGTGCAGCTCACCTAACTTCACCTCCGCCGCTCTGCTCTGGCTAATATGAAACTCAGCTTCTCCTTTTTTTCCTCCTCTTCCTCTCTCAGCTGCTGGCCACGTTCCTGATCCAGTACGAGAGGTTACACGGGGTCCAGTCCTCAGGGGTCCTCTTCATCTTCTGGTTCCTGTCTGTGCTGTGCGCCATCGTGCCTTTCCGCTCCAAGATCCTGAAGGCCTCCAGCCAGGTAAGAGCGCAGACCACCTCAATAGTTTAGTTGTATTTCGCTGTTACTTTTTGACTAATTTGGTTTGTTTTAATTTGTTTTTAAGAGTAGGATTGCTAGTTAAACGTTTAGTTTGAGTTTTTTCATTCTTTGACCTTGGTAGCTAGCTAGCTA